AGGTTACGAAGCCCAAAACCCTCCACACTACTCCATATGGCCGACCATCTTAGGGGATGAGGCCCATCATTGGTCTCGCCATCTCGTGCTCGATCTAGGCCCTTTGTGTTACCTTATAGGATCCGTCCAATTGGGCTTTGGCCTATTTTACTAGCCCAAAGATCATTAGTACCTCTAGCTATGATATAATGACGACTCAAATGAACGAACTTAATTATATCCATAATTTGATCCATTTATATATCTAATAATTGCACAGACGAAGACATAAATCCTTCATATGGTATAGTGCGTGGGTTAATGTTAGCATGATTTAATGATCAAGAGATCATGTTTCTTACATCTAATTTAATTCTAATTTGCACTATATATATGTTGCAATGTAGTACGTTTTTTAGTGGATTGAATAATAATAAAATGTTCTTCTTTACTTCTCTCATCTCTCTATTTTTTATTTCAACATAATCCATTAACGTAAAATTATATTTTGAAATCAGTAAAATATTACAAATATTGAAACATCCAAAATTATTTTGTGACGTAAATATATATAAGACAGATTGAATACAAAGTATTAACATTGGTTCTCCTAATACCTGCTGCTGCTTAGATTAGTTATATAAGGTAACAGAACTACCAACTTAACGGGCTAGGTGGTGGTAGTTTTGACCATAACAAGCAATCATTCCTACCACCATAACTAACCTTAGTTACTAATAATTTAATGTGAATTAATTAGTTTATGAATATATGTATTTAATATATAGTTCGTGCAGTTGTTGAACTTGAGGTTTTCAATACAAATGTAAATTTATGATAGACAGCAAAATATATAGTGGGCATACTATAGACTAGGAGTAAAACATCTGAAAGCATGTTTCCACCAATCAGTCAAAGCTTTTAAGCAAAGATTGCATGATTAGAGATCCACTACTCTTCCTTGCTTGCTATCTATATTTATTATCTAATGAAACTTATTTATGTTATAATTTTGATGAAGAATAATTTGGAAATTGTTGTGTTGATTAATTAAAATAAGTAAATTGTTTGTCACTTTATTATGGCTCCCAATTTGCTTAATTATTGAGTTTTTGCTACAATAAAAAAAAGTTTCGAAAAAATGAAAAGGGAAACACCTAATAAGGTCATATCATCATGCATTCATGCATGCGTCATGCGTGTATGTAGGAAGATCTTATAAATACATGGTACTAGTTGTATTACTATGGGTAGTGTATAGTGTAAGTCAATCGGTTTTTAGGTTATATGTTAACAAGATTTACACACGCGATACATGTTTATTCCAATCTATCTATAACAATAACTAAAATAAAAACCGCTTACATTATTACTGTACACATGTCAATTTCTCATATAAATTTTTCCCTCCAAAATTATTAAAGTGTGAACATCAATTAACCAAAAGCGTATTAGTGATATTTCTCTTTCCAAAAACCCACATTTTGTGAATTAATTATTTCATATTATATTGAATTTTTTATTCTAATTCGTGCATCACACGAGTGCTAATATAGTGTCTAGTATACAAAGTACAACAAACATTTTAAAAGATAAGATTATATATATATATATATATATATATATATATATATATATATATATATATATATATATATATATATATATATATATAAAAGACATTTTAGATGAACAACAAACTAAGGACATGTTCTCTTACGTTGAAATCCAGTTCAGTTCAGCTCAGTTCAGTTCAGTTCAGCTCCTAATTTTCTTCTCTTATAAAATATTCATTTCAGTTCAGTTCAATTCAGTACAGCTCAGTTCAGTTCAGTTCAGCTCAGTTCAGTTCAGTTAAGTTCAGTTCAGCTGAGTTCAGGCCTAACTCCTTAAAAATTAGCTTAGCTTGTACATAATACTATAGAAATTACCAAACTTCTATTATAAATCATTCTAAAATATAGCAGTTCAGTTCAGTTCAGTACGTACAACTCAGTTCAGTTCAGTTCAGCTCAGTTCAGTTCAGTTCAGTTCAGTTCAGCTAAGTTCAGTCAATGAGAACAGACCCTAACTCCTTAAAAATTAGCTTAGCTTGTACATAATACTATAGAAATTACCAAACTTCTATTATAAATCATTATAAAATATAGTCATTGTCTAAACTTTCATTTGAACTTTTTTTTCCATTGCATTGAAATAGGCGTGGCGTTGATTTTTATAAATTGTTGAATGTATGACAATTGTATACGTATGTTGCGTTTTAAAACTCAATTTCAAATAACGACGATCCCCAATCAATCAAATACCATATGTATGACTTATTATTTAGGAATCAATTTGGATTCAAATGGTACGATTTTCCTTAGTTGTGCCGTGCTAGTGTTAGTTAAACCAAGCATCCAATGCAACATGCATCTTAAAAAATGGGTAGAAGACAGTGACAATTATGCCAAATTAAATTATCCAAGTATCAAACATGCACCTTCAACATTGCTATGTTTGCAACAGAAGGCAGACTGTCTACTACACGTTGTTGCATGGTGCCTTCTGGAGCATTGTTTTGGTGAACAGCATCGTAACAAAGCCTAGCCTTCGAAGCTAACGTACAATATTTTTATAATTATTTATACTTTAAGGGTGCGGTTGTATACTTGTAATTTGTAAATTAATTAATATGGAATATGAAAAATATTACGATATGTATTTGTATATAGTTAGGTTCTAATCCAAATATAATATAAGTTGTATTTAGGACATGTTTGGACTCGATAATACGACAAGCTAAAGAATTTGGTGATGAGTTTGATTAATAATTAGGTGCAGTGGTGATCAAATAAGGAAGTATGCATACACTACACCTAGTAGTACGTAGTAACTAAAGAACAATTACTTTCGTTTTGGAAGGTAACTGTTAAAGGACCAATTCAATTGAAAACTTAAGTTGATGGTTGAGACCAAAGATAATATGTTATACTTTATAATGCCCCCGGACCCCCGGCCCTCACGTGAGCTAGAGTTCGTTAGGCTTGAAATTATGGATGTAAAATGGGCCCTTTCAAATAATATTTAACCGGCCTTTTAGGGTTAGTTGTTATTCCATCAACTAGGTCGTCTTCTATCCTTATACAATCTTCACCTCAATTCTTATACGTACATTAATACAACATCCTCAAATCAGTCAAATAAGCATGCTTCATAGTTCAAGTGAAGAGGAAAGGGTAGTTGTACATGCTCTAACGCTCATATAACTGTCAATAAAGGATTAAATTCCTCCGGATTGTGAAAACTTTTAAAAGTATGAAAGAAAATTATCTTTATATTTATAATTGATTTTATCCAAATATTTCACTCTTCGTTTATTGTCTAAAAGGTATCCAAATACGATAAACCTTTACTAACATATAATTACTTGAAATATCCAATTTGTCACGAAAAAAGTTTAGAAAATATAATTACTAACATAAGAAAAAACCCTATCATAAAACATTGCTCCAAATATTTCAAGAACCAACGACATATTTTCATCTCCATCAAATGCAACAATAGTTGCAAAATCAATTCACTACAAAATATGGTGCATGTCTCATGTGACATTTCATACTAGTTTAACATTTGAGGAGTGAACCAAGTAATACAATTTTATTTTATGTAATTATTATATAGTGAGACAAATATTTATGACCCCAAAAAATAAAAAATCATTGTAGTCCTACTATTTTCGTATGGTACAAAATCCAGTAGTAGTACCTACGGTGTATTTTTGTGGAGAAGGAATAGAAAATTGTGGCGGTTTGCAAATGTCAAAATCGATATTTTGGCGTTTTCCACAAATCTTTTAGTTGTGGCAAGTGGGCCCCGTTTATCTTAAAATACGAAGTACTCGGTAAAACTATTACCTCGGTAATCGTAGTATCTTCGTATTTGACATGTGAAAGTGTGAAATGTAAATACGTACTCCATATTTTGTTTTTTTACAGGTCGGTATTTTTTACTTCATACTCCGTATTTTGCAACGGAAAAATAGAAAATGTTAAACTTTTCAACTTTTTAAATTAAGGGAGATGTAGAAAATGCATATCATTATTATTTTTGTTTAATTTATTGAATTTTATTGAATACAAATTGATTTTCACAAGTGGAGTAACCAATTATTGATAACCAATTATTGATAAAAATAAAAAATAAGTTATCAAGTCATAAATGAGCAAACTACTATAGCAAAAAAAAAAAAAAAAAAAAAAAAAAAAACACCGGAGTACGGAGTAGTGGATAGAGGAAGTAACTTTGTAAGAGTTGCCCCTCCCAAGTCATGATCTTGAGGCCATGAAATTATGGTACAATCTTGTTATCAATAATCTTATTTATGCATGCATTACTACCTCATCATCAATAACACTACAATATCTTTCTCCATTATTAAAATTGCGAACACTTGTTACTTTGGGTGTTTTATAAAAAGTTGTAATATTTCATCATCAGATAGCTTGTATAGTTACACATTAATGAAGAATGAAAATCGAGAAAGTATGTGTGAACAATAATCTCATATAGTCATATGAGTATTTTATATCAACTAATGATATATCCCGTACTCATATTGCCTAATACTTCATTTTTGTAGTTTTAGTTGGTATATTTTAACTTTTAACTCATACAATACAATAGGACATGTTCACTTCATCTTAAGTTCTGTTCAGTTCAGCACCAATAAGTTCAGTTTAGCTCTTAATTTGCTTCTCTTATAAAATATTCATTTCAGCTCTACTCAGGTCAGTTCATTTTAGCTCCAATCAGCTCAATGTACTTCAGTAAATGAGAACAAATCTTTAATCATAACAAAAAAGAAAACATGTCAATGATATTTATATATATAAAAAAATTCATCATAATACATACTCCGTACATCATATGTGAGTTCTCCATAATATACACAATACACGGGATAAACTTTTATTTGAAGACGGAAAGACCGAAGAAGTATCGGTGACCGATAGCGATACCAAGTGCGAAAGAAAGAAAGCAAATAAAACGGCAAGATGCGCGCCTATTTAACTACACAAGTACGGAATAGTAAATTGGGTCACATTATATATCCACGACATTTTACTGTTTTCATTTATTCTCCCAAAAATATAATGGACCATTTCCTGCAAAAAAATTAAATTCCTCAAAAAATAAAATCAAACAACAATAAATTCTTCCTGGCTTTTTCTCTTCCTCCTTTTTACTGTCACTCTTTCTCAGTCTTCCATTTTCAGCCACTTTCTCTCTCCTCTTCACTTTTATAAATTTATTTATTTTCGCTGCCATTTTTAGGTGGCAAAGCTTTTTCATGGTTGAATCCTTGAAATGTGACAAATTCTTCCAAATCCTACCATCAATTTCATCGAAGAAGACGAAGACGAAGTTGCAGAGGAAATTAGGGTTTGCAATTGAAGAAATTGAGCGATATAATGCCTTTAAATAGGCATCAAATTAGGAATGAGTATAGTTTAGCGGATCCAGAGTTGTATAAAGTTGCTGATAAAGATGATTCTGAAGCTCTGCTTGAAGGTGTTGCCATGGCTGGTCTTGTTGGTGTTCTTCGCCAGCTCGGTGACTTAGCTGAGTATGTTCTTTTCAATTTTTGAATGTGATTAGGGTTTCAATTTTTGATTGATTTGGTGAAAATTGTTTGTTATGGCGTGAATTTGAATTTAATCAATTGTTGAGATCTGCTTCAGCTGGATTAATTAAGATTATGCTTAACATTGACTCATAATGCAATTTTTGCGGAATTTCCTGAATTAGATATTGTTTGGTTTTCAAGTATTTAATTTCACTTTTTATTTTTGATTTTTGGATTAAGCTTTACATTGACTTAAAATGACTTAAAATGCAAATTTTGCGGAATTTTGCCTGAATTAGATGTTGTTTGAATTTGAAGTATTTATTTTCACTTTTTTTTGGCTGTTAATGGAAGTGTTTAGATTTTATTGTTAGTGATATTAAATTGCAGGAAGATATTATGTGAATTTGATGCTTATCAGATTTGTTGATTGTGATGTTAAGCGAGAAATGATAATTTCATCAAACTCTTGCCTTATTTCCTGAATTAGAAAACGAAAGGAAACATGGGGAAGGGCCGAAGGGGGTATGTGTTGTACGTTTTGAAATTGTTTGCTACCTGTTGGATTTTATTGGAACCGATTAGTGGTTGGCTGTTTGATTTGGTCCCGAGTAGCGGACTGGGCATTACACAATGCTTTGTTGTTTTTTTCTAGGATAAGTGATCCAAGGTGGGGGATTTTGTGGCCAATAGGGAGTAAACTTGAGCTACATTTTAACTATGATACCTGTAGCATATGACGAAGGGGCGGCCTATTCTGGAATGGGAAAAAGGCTTAGCTCAAGTAATTTTGAAGGGAATAATAAAGGTCCTTTACTTTAGCACCCCTAGAAAAAAAAATGACTAATAGCTAACTTGATGTTGATTTGCATCCTTACTGTAACGACATGGATCAATAATATGATTAAGCTCCATATGAGCTTTTGTTTTATCTAAATCTGATAGACTTTTAGAGAAAGAATCTCCTTTCATCTGGCTAAGAACCAATAAATGCTTAAAATATGAAATTAAAAGGTGCAGAAAAGCAAGCATGAAGCAGGCTGGAAATCTAGAGGCAGGCAAAGGTCTAAACAGCCGTGGGAAGCTATAGAATAGAAAAATTATTAAAAAAAAGAACAAAAGATCATCTTGGAAAATTTCATAATCCAATGAGCCAATGAGGAGGAGATGTTGAATTACGCTACTCATTGTACTCTGGCCAAAGTTCTTGCTCCTAAATTCCTAATTACTGTAATCCTCTCTGTTTTTGTAGAGTTCCTATGAAGCTTTATTCTCCTAAGTGTATTACACGCTTAACCTTATTAATCCCAGTAGGCCGTCTAAATATAGTTATGATATATACTTTCTATTGTGATTTTGCATACTAAGACATTCCTAGTCATCATGATGTGGTTGTAAGCTGTATACTCTGGTTGTTGCCAATTTAGCATTAACAGTTCTTTTGGATTAGGGTTCTTTAAGTGTGTAGACATTATAGTAAATGTTTTATGGGAAGATGTAAGCCAAACACACCCAAGTGCCCAAGTGAAGCAATTTGAAGGCTGTGGTTATTTGCATCCTAATTTCTTAGTGGGCTAAAAAAATGCCAATAAATACTCAGTTTCAGAAATTAATGTTGTTGAACAAGCTTAATGACAACAATAGATAAGTAAACGAAAGGTTTTGTACCTCGGTGAAAAGATGAGAAGTATGTGATGATTTTGTCCCAAGTATATAGAATGGCAATTAAAAGTTGGATGTATACGGTTTGAAAATGACCTTTCTCATCTTGTGCCATTAGCTATTAGAGGATATTATCATATTAATGTTGATCAACTTGAATGACAATGGTAGGTTAATAAATTAGCTAAAGGGCATTGGTGTAAAGATTTGAAGGATGCAATGATTTGTTTGTTAAACCTTGCAAAGATTGTCAGTATAGACTTGAATATGTCTTGATGTGTAGTTTGAAACCTTGAGATGCAACCTTTCCTTCTTCGGCTATTAGAGAATATTGCTGTCTGATAAATAATATTTATAAGCCTACATTGACTGTTGAGAAAGATTAATTGATTTATGTTTTTCAAAGTTACATGCTTTCTTTGTTGGACAACATTAAAAATGTGCTATCAAGCTAGGGGAACATCATTTAAACTCTGTCTTTTGTTTTTCTGCCTGTCCACAACATTAATCATTGTGGAACTGTTTTGTCTTATATGAGATTATAATTAACCAATCTTACTGAGAGAATATAAGGCATTGAGCTCCCAATACATCTGCATAACGGAAAGTCCAAATGTCAAACCATGATTCCCCATGACATTTTGGAACAAACACAGATCAATGACCATATAAAGAGTTACGAGTAATAGTTTAGAGATAAAGGATCGTGTGATGCATCTACATCTAGGAAGATTTTCATTTTATTCCTTTTCCCTTTGAGGGGTCAATCTTTGAATTTTGTGGTCGTTTGGTTAACATAGGAAATGAAAATTCCCATGAACTTCTAATTTATGGGAATTAAATTCCACAATCAAATTCATGGGAATTTCTTAAAGCAGTTTGGTTAGTAATGAGGGAAATAAATTCCCATAGAAATTTCAACTTACCTAGTGGGGACTAGTAAGTAAATTTCTACATTTTGTGGGAACTAAAAATTCCTAGGAAGCTCTACTTCCCCCATTTCACCAAATTTTATTCAAACAAACAACTTACGCATTTTGCAATTCCTAAGAACTCTCCTAATTCCCATGTTTATACAAACCAAACAACATCTTTATGTATCAAATTTATTGTTCTCATAATTTGCTGCAAGAGATGTTTCCCTGATTACTTGTGTCTTCTGATTTAAAAAGGTTTGCTGCTGAAATATTCCATGACTTGCATGAAGAAGTTATGGCTACCTCTGCTAGAGGTCATGGTCTGATAGTTCGTGTCCAGCAACTGGAAGCTGAATTTCCTTCAATTGAAAGGACACTCCTCTCCCAAACTAGCCATACAGCGTTTCTCTACAACACAGGTGGGAATTTTATCAAGCGTGCATTTCTTATGGAAGATGCCTGTTTTTATTGTTGTTTAACTTAGTAGTAAATTTGTTTGATGAATATACAATTAGTGTCAGGTTTAACACTCTTTGTTTGACAATCAAGGGTCTAAAGGAAATTTTTATTTCGTGGTCGGTCAAGGGCCTGCTCTACTCACTTTATTATATGTTGTTGCCTTGTTGGGCTGATGGCCTGATTAAAGATACCATGGTTTGATAATATTTTAAAAGCTCTACCCCATTTGTTTCAACCTTTTGCAAGTATTGTAAGTTGTAACTCACAAAAAAAAAAAGGTTTCGCTCATTTCTTTTCTTGCATCACTTTGGTAAATCTTGTCCTGTAGGCCTGAATTCGGTTCATTTTTTGATAATTTGGATGCCTATATGCTGTCTTCTGGCAATCCGGTCTGGATTGTACAACGTTTACTTAGGCATTTTCAACCCGCAGGATGAAATTAGTGTATCTTATATACAGAGGATTTACAAATTTTAATCTGAATTTGTTGTTTAAAAAACTTTTAACAGTGAAACTTCCCTTGGATTTTAGAGTAGTGAAAGCTGTTAATTCTCTGATAACAGTTATTGCATGGGCTTTTGTCCTGCACTTTAACATATGTATGTGGCAGGCGTTGACTGGCATCCTAATCTCCGTATGGATCAGAGTGTGGTTACTCGAGAAGACTTACCTCGATTTGTTATGGATTCTTACGAGGAGTGTAGGGGTCCTCCTCGTCTCTTCCTTCTTGACAAGTAGGTTTCTTTTATTTTGATAACTATGTATCTCCACACAGAATGATATGTTATTAGTTGATGATGTTGATGGCTTAATATGTTGCAGGTTTGATGTTGCGGGTGCCGGTGCGTGTTTGAAGCGCTTCACTGACCCATCATTCTTTAAGATGGAATCAGCATCTTTGACTGGTAGAAAATTAGGACAGAGGGATAAGAAAACTCGAAGAGTAAAGGTACAATGATACACGCTAATATGCTAAGAAACTTCTTATGTGGCTTGTGTGTGTGTGTGTGTGTGTGTGTGTGAGAGAGAGAGAGAGAGAGAGAGAGAGAGAGAGAGAGAGAGAGAGAGAGAGAGAGAGAGACTGTGTGTGTGTGGTGCGCGCACACGCGTGCGTGTTTGTGTGTGTGCATGCGTGTGCCCGTGTGATGCATGTGTGTGTGTGTGCGTGTGCGTGTGTGTTTATAAATTAGAGTAGCTGCAACGATAACAATAACAAGTGATCTGAGTTGTGGCTTATGGTGATGACAAAGGCCTAGAAATATATATTTACAGCATGGTAATGAAAGGATGTTGACTTTATATGCAATATCAGTTGCCAGTTCCTGCTAAAGGGAGACAAAAGTGAACTGGGTGGGTAAATTAGTGTATCCGTTTCACTTACAGCTCCTCTGTTGCACTTACACCTCTTTATATTTATGTTATATATAGTATCATTCTAAAATAGTTGTGTAGTTCTGTGCCTGGTGGTCGGAAGGGGATAAATATTGATATGACCGAATGGGTTGGTGTGCACTGCTAGTGATCATTCTGTTTGCTATAAAACTTGGTGTTTAATGTTACTACTTGTTATCAATAGACCTGTGTCATTAGCATATTACGACTTGTACCTATTAATAGCTCCAGTTGCTATTGATATCTATTATGAAGTATTGGTGCTTAATATTACTTGGCGCTCTTCTCTTATATGTTTGACCTAATTTGGGTTTATGTTATTAGTTTATTGTTGACTCTCTTGGAATTCGATAATCTGCGAGTACAAAAAAATGGTGGCATGCTGGCAACTTTCTCTATTTTGAATATTGATTTGAGATATAATTTTGAAAATGGGCAGTTTGCTGCTGTGTTAGGTTTTGCCCCTTGGCATATACCTTCTAGCTTCTAAAGACTTTTTTCAGCACCACCTTGACTGTATTGGTTTATACTTAACTTGATTAATCTTTGGTTTCTCTTCTGTTTGGATGTGTAGTTTTATTACTACTACTTTGAGACTGTAACGTAAATTTTTATTTCCAAGCTTGTGAACTCCATGTATATGTAAAATTCTGTCCTAATGTTGTCTTTTTGGCCGTGTTTCAGAAGAGAGGACCGCGATGGAGAAACGGAGATACTCCAGAATCCTATCCGTCATCACATGCCAAGTATGAAGCCTTCGTTTATTTCGATGTTTCAATTCTTTTTCTTACATACTTTAAAGATTGCTAACTGATAAACGTTAACATATGAATTTTGCTAGTGCAGACTGCATCAGCTGTTTCTGGAAGAGCGTATTGAGAGTGGTATTAATGATCCAGCGCGTCGTGTAAAATTGAAGAAGAGGCAGTTTACTGGATCTCTTTTCGAGCAGGATAATGTGAAAAGTTACATGGAAAAGTTTTTGGATACTAGTCCACAGGAGCAAAAAATTCTTCATGAAATATGTATTGACCCTCTAGCATTGACATGGAAGTCAGATACTGTTTGTGAAACAGGTCTTGAAATTGTGGAAATTGGTGCAATTAGTCCTGTCAAAGAATCAATAGACACTGACAGAAGCTTTTGCTCCTCACCTGAAGGCAGGGAAATTGTGGCCAAATCATCAATGGGTGGTTTTAATCAGGACAAGTTGAATACATTGAGTGACAATAAACGTGCGGAAGTACCTGGACTCTATCATGAAAGTCATGATAGTAACTTATCAAAAATTTCGAAGGTGGTGAGTAGTGAAGAAATTGCTGATAGAGAAAGCATGTCAGAAGGCAGTGCTGATGGTGCTTGTGATATTGATGATGTTGCTAGTGAGATTGATAATTATGTGGACGCTCTTGCTAATATGGAGTCTGAATTTGAGACAGATTCTGATTGTAAGAAAAATCCACACTATTTGAATGTGGAACCCGTTATGGAAGATTCTGATGGAAGCGAAAAACGGCGGGAGCTCCGTTGTGTATCCTTGGATTCACAATCAATTGGAAACTCCATCACATCTGAAGATGGCGATCGTTTATCCAAGGACAGGGAAAGTTCATGCTCAAATAGTGTGAACACTTTGATGGAGACTACAACTGATCTTGATGTAGCAGTTGCTACTATCCAAGCTTCTAACTCGGATTCTGACAATATGTTATTTGACCATCATTCCACATACGAGGAGATTCTCAGAAAAGAAAGAGAAATGCATGCAGCAGCCAGTATTGCTCATGCCGCAGTTGATGACATATTGAAGAGTGAGGAGGAGTCTGGTGAAGCTTTGAATACTTCTTCTCTTGCTGATTCTAATAAGAAGATTCTTCCTGTAGATGTGAAAGCTAATTTAGTAGATGATCCCTTGCCATGCCCAGAATCAGAAGTCTCTGCAAATCTTGATGTTGATTTGGGAGAAATGGATCAAGGACGTACAAATCAAATTGATATCTTGCATTCCCATAGAACATTTTCTGACACTTCTGAGGATAGTGGGCATTTTGTCAGTGTGGAACCTTCAGTTCATGATAAGGATGGTCCGCATTGTAGTGTACATTGTGAGGCATCAGGGGGTTTGTTAAATAACTCGGATGGCTTGGTACATTTGCCTGAAACAGACTCCCATGATGCGGCTGGTTCATTGGTCGAAGGACACGATATGGATTTCGGAGCAGCAGAATTAAATGCTTGTTCAGACATTGGATCATCTGGTAAACACTCTCCTGTTTCCGTTCCTATGTATCAAGAAAAAACTAAGTCCATCATTATGGCCCATGAAGAAGATTGTACTCCATCAACTGGAAAAAACTCAAAAGATTTATGCTCTGCCACAGATTCTACTGCGAGTTTTGGTTTTCACGAGCTGCTCCCTGGAACAAAGAATTCCGGCCATGCATCTCTTGGTTCTTCTGCGGAAAATCTTCCATGTTCCTGGGAAGATACTAGTATGGAAGATGATATTGCTGTGAGTAAAGAAATAGTATCTTTTGCTCTGCATGGTTGCCGAGCTGAAAACTTGCCTGGCATGTCCAATCAGCTACACACTAGCGCACGAGAATTTCCACCTGGTGAGATTACTGAGGCAGCTAAACTCGCTAATTGTGGCTCTTTTGAAGCTGATGCAGCTGTTGTGTCTTCCAGGGATGACTCAAATAGTGAGATTTCTTGGTCCGCTGATAATATCTTGCAGGACTCTTTCAAGGTGGGAAAGCCATCCCCTGTTCTAGATCCTCTGGAAAAGCAATGCGAATGGCTGAAAATGCCCTTAGAGGCAACTGATAGTACTCTACTGGAGCTTTGCCCAGATGAAGCTTGTGAGGTATATTCTGGTAATGATACTGGATACTCTATTTCTGTTGATGGGAATCCAGATAAATCACAAGCCTTTGAGTCAGATACTGTTGTGGATGATCGTGAATCTCAAGCAGCAATTATTCTTGGTGAAGCCAACGTTGATCATGCTCCCGTTGATCCGCATGGTGACAAGGACAAGATCTTTTCTCCTGATGCATCCCCCCTTAACATACCCTGTGAACATAATGATTCTAATGTAGTGGCATCTGAGGATGAGTCACATTCCAATCGTCATGTGGGGAAGGTGGATCATATAGAAACTGTTGCTGATGGTTCCGAACAAGTTGATGTCGTGGATGATTATCATCAAAATGGGTCGACTTTGTCACTACTTCCTGAGAAGCTCCATGAGCCCCCTCTTTTAGTCACCAAGCAATTTCATCAAAATGATGAGGTAGAGCAAAGAAGGCAAATTGATCCTGTTCAAGATGCTTCTGTAACTTCCAATGCCAACATGTGCAACATATCTTCTGCTGATTCTCCCACCTTACATGATGGTTCACTGCCTGAAGATGTCAAGAGTAGTGAGAACTCAGCTGCAGAAGCGAAGGACCTGGATTCACTTGGCCATGCTCTCTTTGAACCCCAATATGTTGAGAGAGAATCAAGCATAGCTGTTCCTGGTTTACATGATGACCAACCTACACTATCAAAAATTTCACCGCAATCAGCTGAGTATATGCTGGACACCTCCAATGTATTGGTGCATGGCAATAATGGCATGCTAAGTAGTGGTGACCAAGCCTCACAGTTGGAGAACTCTGGTCAGCCCCCTCGAATCAACCTAGAGCCACCATCTCTGCCTCCTTTGCCTCCTATGCAATGGAGACTGGGCAAGTTCCAAAATTCTGCTGCTGCTCCAGCGGGGAGGCCAGTGGTGCAACATACACGTGTTCCAGTCCAAGTTCAACCAATGGGTCTGCCAACTATGCACCATTCCCTTGCTCCAGTACAACCAATACCCCTACCAGCAGTGCACCACACAATAGCTTCTTTCCAACCAGTGACCCTCGCAGCAGGGAATAATACACTTACTTCAATCCCACCGACAATCCTGCCTTTGGCTCCACCAGCAGTGCATTATGCGTTTTCTCCTCTTCAGTCATTGGTCCTACCAACTAGCAATTACAGAACTGAAATCAATTCCCGGTCTCTCACAAATGAGGGACATCTGGGGTATTCAGATGGTTATGTGGCACAGCAAGGAGTCTTTGCCCTGCCAATGCCTGTTGGAGTTTCTGAAGGTTTATTCCAGATTAACACTAGTGCAGTTGGAAGACAAGACAATATACCATCCACAGTCCCTTCTGTATCCACAAATCTGGATGCTTATGTAACACAGCAAGGAATATATACACCGTCAAATCCATTTATGGTTTCTGAAGATTCTGCCCACGCTAAAACAGGTGAAGTTGGAAGACAAGACCATGTACCTATTACGGTCTCTTCTGCCTCAACGTCATTGAATGGCACTCAGATTTCTGAAGATTCCCGTCAGCCTAATGTGGATCCCCCTGAATCCGGATCATTAATTGGCCACTTTTCTGAAAATTCATCTACACTAGAAACAAAAGTGGATACTGAAACTTCTATTCAAAATGAGCTGGTTGGACACAGTCCACAAGTGTCGGAGGAAGTAGCAAATTCTTACTCTCAGCCCCTTGTGGATCAAGCACCCCCAGGTTTGGTGGCTCCTGAGGCGGGAAGAACATGGTCGAGTGAATATGATGAGATTCCATCTTATGCTGATGGCAATATTAATGGAACTCTCCAGAAGAAGCTTCCAAGACCTAGAAATCCTCTCATTGTTGAGGTTGTTTCCATTGACAAAAGCAAGGTCAGTCCTGGAATCGGTGTTATCTTAGATTCTATAGTTTTATCTTGCAAATGCTTCATACACACACACACACACACACATACACTTAGAATGCTGCGTTCTTATATCTCTTATGTTTATGTAGTTGAGAAAGGTTGAGAGGACAAAGCCACCATTGGAATCAAAACCCGAAGAAGGAGAGTCTATTCTGGAGCAAATGCAGTTGAGAAAAGTGGAGAGGGTCAAGCCACCAGTGGAGTCAAAAGAGGAAGGAGGAGAATATTTGGAACAGTTGCAACTGAGAAAGGTGGGAGAAAGGGTAAAACCTCCAGTTGACACAAAAGCTGAAGAGGAATTTTTACCAGAACAGTTGCAGTTAAGAAAAGTTGGAGACAGGGTTAAATCACCAGTTGATCCAAAATCTGAAGAGAGAGAATTTCTATTGGAACAGTTGCAGCTAAGAAAGGTAGGGGTAAAGTCTCAACAAGAGGTTGAGCCTAAAGTTGAAGAAATTAATTCACCAATGGCGCAGTTGAGGAAGGTCCGGGAAAGGGTTAGAGAAGAGCTTGAACTGAAAACTGAAGAAACAGAATCCCCACGAATGTTGCTAAGGAAGGTAACTGAAAGGTCACACCCTCCGGCTGAACCAAAAGCAGAAGAGAGAGACTCATTATTTGAACAAATAAGAAATAAGGTTTGCCCTCAGATTGCATTTCTTAATGTTCATGGTGTTACTTATCCTAAAGCCTAAACATTGCCTTTCCTAATGTTCATGGGTGTTAAGCATCCTGAACATTGTCTAAATACTCTAAAACTAGCAGCTGACTTTTATTTTCTTCCTTTCAGTCGTTCAATTTGAAACCAGCAGTTGCAGCTAGACCCAATATTCAAGGTCCAAGAACAAATTTGAAGGTTGCTGCCATTCTGGAAAAAGCAAGCACTATTCGTCAGGTTTGTCCATGCTCCAAAAATATTTGTAGAATCATTGTTTTGCAGTCAGGCCCATCTATATTTCAGAGTTCTTGCACTTCTTTCACTGTTAAACTGACAAATTTTGAAACAGGCAATGGCTGGAAGTGATGAAGACGGTGATGAAGATAGTTGGAGTGATAGTTGATACAACCACATCCCACTTACCATTGTCAATATGCTAGATGAGACTGTATCAACCTTTAGTACGAAGTACATAGATTCAAGGGTGGTTGTAGTTCGTCCCTTACCCTACATAGATATATGTATAGTGATTTTTTCTTTTGTTTTCCCCTCCCATCTTATAGATACATTATCATATACATACACGAGCAGCCTGGGGTTCTGCGTGCAAGCGCATCTCCAGCCTGCCTTGCTGCACCATTCAATGTTCATATTAATTTGTATCAATGTTTCAAATTTTGGCAATAGGAGTCTGCAATCAGATTGATGTATATTAACGTTGATTTTTGTCCAATCATTTTGGGTTCGTGTATCAACTATGAAGTATTGAACACTGCATAATCCCCCACCCCCATCATTCATTTTTCCCTTTTGTAGGAAAGAGATAGCTTTCCAATTCTGTTTATTCCATTTTTGTATGTTGTATCATTCTTTTTCGAGAAATCGAGGATAAATAGCCCATTTCTATTCTTGTCTTACCTAAATTAATCACTAAATTAAAAAAATAAAAATAAAAACGTGTCAACCATCCCGTCAAAATAAAATAAAATAAAAATGTCAACAATATCATTAGCGCCTGAGGCCCTATTACATTCACTTTACAAAAATTACAATATTTTTTTATTTGTTTTTAAGGAAAAAAAAATTACTATATTTATCATATTACAATCAATTATTAAAAGATATAAATTCAACAAAAATAGTTTAATTTTATAAGAAATAATTCAATTTATTAATAAAAAACTATCATGTGAACAGAAATATAGCATAGCATTAGACATTGATTATAATTAATAATTGGGCCGTAGATCATAGACTGGACCAAACTGTTGAAAAAAGATGCCGTAAATGGGCAATCTAACACTTCCAACGCCAGCACAAACGTCATAAATCGTAATACCCCTGACCGGCCCAACAAACAGGGCAACCCGTTTTTTCTCTCTCTATTTATTTATAAACCCACTTTACTTCTTCTTGTTCCTCGTCTTAGGGTTTTCGATTTTCGGAGCTCAGATTTTCTTCAAGTTTCGCCGCCATGGGAAGAAGTATGTTCTTCATCTTTGTTTAATTATTCTGGATTAGTGTTTCGATTGTACTGTTAGTTAGTTGTCAATTTTGTTTTTGTTTGTTCAATCGATTTTGTGAATTCAGTTTCTTCGCCGAATTGGGGACAATAATTGAATTCCGCTGTTTTTTCTGCTAGTTTTTGCTTGATTTTTTGTGTTTATATGATCATTTTGAGTGATTATTCGCTATAAAGTCTGTAACTTTTCCCATTTTTGTTTCGATTCGATCAATTTATTTTTAATAAATACTGATAATTTGTGGTAGTTCCGATGAATTTGTGTTCATGTATGTTTGATTAATTTATGAACAAATGACAATGAGATTGATGCAAATTTTATTTTTAATCATTGTTTAAGATGTGTTGCGTTAACTTAATTTCGCTTTTGTTGATTCGATAGTAATATGCAATATGCTCAAATGAGGGATTTTCTCTTAGATAAAGTGAAAATTGTTGTGATAAATGGAGTTTTTTTTTTTGTGCCGAAGAAACTGAAACGTGATTGTTGTAAATGGATTCAATTTAGGACCGGCAAGATGTTATCGTCAGATTAAGAACAAGCCATACCCTAAATCCCGGTTTTGCCGTGGTGTTCCTGATCCTAAAATCAGGATTTACGATGTCGGTATGAAGAAGAAAGGTGTCGATGAATTCCCCTTCTGTGTGCACCTTGTCAGTTGGGAGAAGGAAAATGTGTCAAGTGAGGCGTTGGAAGCTGCCCGTATTGCTTGCAACAAGTACATGACTAAGTTTGCCGGAAAGGATGCTTTCCATCTAAGGGTTAGGGTTCACCCGTTCCATGTGCTTCGTATCAACAAGATGCTTTCGTGTGCTGGAGCTGATAGGCTCCAAACTGGTATGAGGGGTGCTTTTGGCAAACCTCAGGGTGTTTGTGCTCGTGTTGCAATTGGTCAGGTCCTCCTCTCCGTTCGTTGCAAGGACACTAACAGCCATCATGCTCAGGAAGCTCTTCGTCGTGCTAAGTTCAAGTTCCCTGGTCGTCAAAAGATCATTATCAGCAGGAAATGGTATGTTTACTGCTTGTCTTTTTTATTAAGGTTTCAACACTTATTTATTTGCAAATTGGGATGTGTAGTCTCTGGGTTAGAGTACGAGTACCTGCTTTTTACTTGGGACTTCTTTTTTTTGGTTCAACCATGCTCATTGTTGGTAACAAATGTTATAAAATATTCATAGGAAGCTTTAATCGTTTTAACATATTAGTTATACACTCTACATTATTTGATCAGTTTTTATGCAATACTGGTGGTTAATTTAGCTGGTAGTCTTTGAATCTTGAGAGTAGTGGTTGATGCTAGTCTGAACTTTGAATTACGAGTATCATGTTTCCCAGTACTGATTTCCTTAACTCTATTAATCAGGGGCTTTACCAAGTATAACCGTGCTGATTATTTGAAGTACAAATCTGAGAACAGGATTGTACAAGATGGTGTCAATGCCAAGGTATGTTAATTTTTTTTTCCTTTTAATTGTATATGATGGTTAAATTTAGGATTTTGTGCTCTGCTAACCTGATGACACTGGCTAATATTGATTTCATTTTGTGAATGGAAGTAGTAGTTGGATCTCTTATATGTAGTATGTTATTTGATTACACTGTAATTTGTATTAACAGTCACTGCATTATCAACGTGTTCTGTTTGTTGTGCTTCTTAACTGTTGGTTTATGCATGTTTGGGATTTTCGTTATATGCATTATTATTGACGAATTGTGAAGATTTCTCTGTATTATCGTGATTGAGCGTGTAAAACTTTGCTTAGTACCAGTACTTGATACCAATCATCCTGGTGCTCTTTATCTTCCGGAATTTACTTGCCTTGTGTTATTTGCCTGTGTGGGCATATTTTTGGAATATTCTTCTGCTTTTGCCTATGTTAATATTCCAATTTGCATATGCCGTAAACAAATCTGTTCATTAGCAAATTAGCTTTGTCAATTTCCTGTGCATGTGGAGTTTTTACTCCTGCCTTCATCATTGCTGTAGATCACTTATTATTAGTAACAATCAGTAGTGATTTACGGTGCTGTCTAATGTATTTTGTGCCTTGCAGCTTCTTGGTTGCCATGGACCTCTATCAAACCGCCGTGCTGGACAGGCTTTCCTAACAAGTGCTACTGCTATCGCACAAGAGAAACTTCAAGCTTAGATATTTGCCTTCCTATATGATTGATCTATACCAGACTTTTTGGTTGTAGCTTAATGATCATTTTATTATCTGTGACTATTGTCGTCATACATAGAATTTAAAACATGCGATTCATTCTGGTCCTTTTTAGTTGGTGTTGTGCATCAATGAATCTATTTGATATAGAATCATTCTCTGCTCTCTTAGAGATTATGTTTTTTTTAGACCAAGTTATTGGGTATGTTCATTGATTTTTTGTTCATGGCTTGTAAGTTTGTTATATTCTGATTTTCTGCCTTGCTGGTTAGATATAAGCGCATGAAGCAACTTTTTAAGAATCGGACTAGGGCAACAGTAATGCAATGGGACATCTCTAATGTTTTAGATTAATGCCATTAATCTACCAATGTCCACTTAGGGTCTGTTCACATTTACTGAATTGATTATTAAACTGAAGTGAAAAGGCCCCAAGTAACTACCAATAAATACATATTAACGCCATTGTAAACTATTGTACTATAAGGTTTTTAGAAGCCTATTTTTAACATTTATTACTAACATAATAAAGAGAAATGGACTTTTAAATTAGGGACAGAGGGAGTACATGTGATGTAGCCTATACTAGTTTGATACGCGACGATACGTCTTGGACATTCTTAAGTAAGGTCATGTTTATCATTTTTTTTCCACTTATTTAAATAATACTCCCTTCTTTTTTATATACTTGCCTCACTTTTCTATTTCGACCGTTTTTAAATATTTGCCCCATTTTCTTATTTGGAAATTTTTTACAATATTTAATTCATTTCTTTCACCCAGTGGACCTAACCTAGATCATACATAGTATTTTATTAATTTTATATTCTCTCTCCTCTATAACTGCTATAGCAGGGTACCATGACTCGTGTCGACACGTGATTAGTCCAAAATTTTTAAAAATAATTTAACATCAAAAATAAAAATAAAAAAAAATCCCAGCCACCTATCCCCACCGTCAAACCCTAACCCCCACCCCTAGCCTTGTCGGAATCCGGCCAACCACCCGTCTTACCCATCGAAACCAAATGGCCAACCACCTTTGACCCATCCCCGAGCACAAAACCACCAATTCAGCAACCTTGACTCCCAAAACCACCTAAAGTCATCGCGCGCATGTTGGTGGTTTTTGGGATCATGGTGGCTGGGTAGGCGGTTACGGGGGTCGGGGCTAGGTTAGTTGGCCTTCTAGAAGGCCGGCTGTCGAGTTTCGGTGGACAAGGGGTGCGACCAGCCAATTATCGTCGAATTTAGGGTTTTGCAGTGGGTGTGGCTGTGGTTTCATTGGACTTCGTAGTTGTTTTGGGGACTGGGGTGGCGGTGTCAGGTGCGGTTTCGGTGGTCGGGGGTTTGGCTGGGAGGTTGTTTCGGTGGTCGGGGGTTGGATGGGAGGTGGTTTCGATGGTCGGGGGTTGGATGGGCCAGGAGGGTCTCTCGGTGGCCGGAGATTGGATGGGAGGTGGTTTCGGTGGTCAGGAGTTGGATGTGTGGTGGTTTCGGTTGTCGTGAGTAGTGCTGGCAAAAAGTCGTGTCGAGTTCGTGTTTGGTCTCGTGTCAATTTCGTGTTATTTATAAAATTTATCAAAAAACTTTGTAAAATGTAAGATAATTCTATAGTTTGACTACTTTTTCTAAACGAGTCGTGTTCGGGTTGATTTCGTGTCGTGTGGGCTTCGTGTTTTCTCTTGGTAACTTCGTGTTGTGCCGATTTCGGTCGTGTTGTTGTGTCGTGTCTGAGATTGTCACCTCTAGTCGGGAGTTGGCTGAGAGGTAGTTTCGGATGGTTGTAAGTTGGTGGCTGGCCGGATTCCGGCAAGGTTAGAGTTTGTGGGGTGGTTGGGAATTTTTTTTTTACTTTTTTTTCTATTTTTTTTATTTTGTACCAATGATACGTTGACACGTGGCTAAAAAAAATCTCTTTCAGCAGGTTACCAGTCATTGGGACTATTGTTGGCAAACTACTCCCATTGTTAGGATTATTAGATAATAAACCTTAGTTGGGATTATTTAAAGTAAATCGCCCATATTTGGGATTATTAATGTGTATTTTTCCTTATTTTTTTAAGGTAAAGTGAACAGGGCCTTATTGTATGAATTTTATCATGTTT